TCCCTGAAGCGAGATATCCAAACTTTGCATCTAAAATGTCAGGCTCTGAGCTTGCCTTAATGGTTCAGCTCTACTCATAACCAGATAGATTCTGGAAGAAGTTTGGTGTTGGCTTTGAGAGAGCCTTTGGAGGAGTTTTTGTTCAGTTTGTCAGGGATTTTTGTGGTGGGTTGGGGTTTTTCCCCTTCCTTCTCATAACCAGCTCTGTGCCATCTATCCAAACTTTGCATCTAAAATGTCAGGCTCTGAGCTTGCCTTAATGGTTCAGCTCTACTCATAACCAGATAGATTCTGGAAGAAGTTTGGTGTTGGCTTTGAGAGAGCCTTTGGAGGAGTTTTTGTTCAGTTTGTCAGGGATTTTTGTGGTGGGTTGGGGTTTTTCCCCTTCCTTCTCATAACCAGCTCTGTGCCATCTCTTTTAGTCCTTGCCCAATGCCCTGATGTCCTCAATCCTCTGCTGGGAGCCATCACTCCAGTGATGGAGCAGGTTCCCACCTAGGTGCACTCTTTCTCCCTGCAGACATACATTGGTACTCTCCTCGTGTCTGTCAACCCTTACAAGGAGTTGGACATCTACACTCTGACCCAGATGCAGCTTTATCGAGGGGTGAACTTCTTTGAACTGCCACCACACCTGTGAGTATCACAGAATCACAGTCAGTCAGGCTGGGAAAGTCCTCTGAGATCAGCAAGTCCAACATATGACCTAACACCACCAAGTTAACTAGAGCAGGGCAGTAAGTGCCACATCCAGTCTCTCCTTAAACACCTCCAGGGATGGTGACACCACCACCTTAGGATTCTAGGTGATGTTGCTAGTTTGGGATTTCTCTGGGAGCTGTGTACTAGCACCATAGCTCTGTGTCCATACTCACTGGGGCTGGTTGTTACTATGAGGCTGAGGTTGTTATGATGAGTTTTTAGTATGAGATCTTGAGTTAGACTCCTGTTTTCAGCTCAGCTTTCCCTGTGGGAAGTGTCCCTGCCTATGGGACTAGATGATCTCTAAGATCCCTTCCAATCCCAACCATGTTGTGATTCCATGATCCTGGCAATACTTGTAACATTAGCCCAGGAGTAGACACTTCTGGAAAGCCTTTGAACTCTACCTCCTGTGCCATTCCTAATGCTGCATCTCCTCCAAATGCCTCCTGTGATCCGTGCTCAGATATGCCATAGCTGACAATGCCTACCGAGTGATGTGCAGTGAGTGCAACAACCATTTCATCCTCATCTCTGGGGAGAGTGGAGCAGGCAAGACAGAGGCATCCAAGAAGATCCTGCAGTACTATGCAGTGACCTGTCCCACCACAGATCAGCTGAAGATCGTCCGCGATCGCCTGCTGCTCTCCAACCCTGTCCTCGAGGTAAGAGCTCGATGAAGGTCCCCAAATGCAGAAAAGTTGCTGTTTGTGGCCTCACTGCACAAGGGTTTTGTGTAAATCTACACTTCAGGGCTCAGGAATGGCCAAAATTGGCCTCTTGGTGGCACAAGCTCTGGGAGAATCCTTGGGATTTAATAGCATTTGATGTTTAGAAAGTTCAACTTGTGGTTTCTAGTGGATAGCTGCAACCTGGGAGTGCAAGGACACTGTGCAACACTCCAGAGTTCCTCAGGGCTTCAGCTAGGTTAGATAAGATAGAGCAAGTTGGTTTAGCTGAATTCCACTCTAAAGCTCTGGAAATTAAAGTGATGAAAATCATGAGTTTGTGTTTCTTCAAGCCCACTAACTTCAGTGGGACGTGGCTGATGCAGCAAATCTTTGTTTCTGGAGCTCTGTCCTGTCATGGGTGTTGGGTTGTCAGTGAGGTGAGAAGTGCCCTAACCTGTCTGTGTATCCACAGGCCTTTGGGAACGCAAAAACTCTGCGTAACGACAACTCCAGTAGGTTTGGGAAGTACATGGACATCCAGTTTGATTTTAAGGTGAGAACAAACTCAGTGGAGTGCTGAGAAAACAAGCTGCATCAGGGAACCTCCTGGACACTGCCCAGGCAGCCTGGGATTCATTGCAGCTTACACTGCAGATCTCTCACCCTGTTTGTCCAGGTCTTGAAATTTGCAGGTAAAGTCACTACTTATCCATCCTGAAATCTTCCTGCATTGCTGGCACTGCTGCCAGTGCTCCATGGGAAGCTGAGGGAGAGGGTTGTAAAGCACAGGTTGTACCAGAAGGACACCAAACCTTGCAGTGTTGCTGGATCCTCACTCTTCAAAGGTGACACAGGCTGTCCCATGTGGCTGCCCCATCCCTGGGAGAGTTCCAGGACAGATTGGATGGGGTTTGGAGCAACCTGGGAAGGTGTGGGTGGTAAGGGGGTGGAATGAGGTGAGCTTTAAAATAGGTGACAGCAGGCACAGGTTTCTCCTGACTGCTCCTCACTCCTAGGTGTGAAGAAACAGCATCACAGCGATGTCTCTGCTGGTTTTGGTGCTGATCTGACTGCTCTGTTCTCTCAGGGAGCTCCAGTGGGAGGCCACATCCTCAGCTACCTAATTGAGAAATCCAGAGTTGTCCACCAAAATCACGGAGAAAGGAATTTCCATATCTTCTACCAGCTGTTGGAGGGTGCAGACAAAGATCTCCTTGGTTGGTTGGGGCTGGAGCGCAACCCCCAGAAATATGCATATCTCATCCAGGTCAGTGCTCCCTCTGGGGCTGCTCAGGAACTCTGGGGCTCCATGTGCAGCTTGGGCAGAAGATGTTCTTGCCCTAAAAATAGAAGATCATAGAGTTTCATAGAGTATAAGGGCTGGAATGGACCTCAGAGATCATCTAGTCCCAACCCCCTGCCCTGGGCAGGGCCACCTCCCACACAGATGGCTCAAGCTCCAGTTCTGCACAAGCCTCAGCCAAGTTATGGGAACACTATCCACCCTCAGTGCTTTGGTTTATCTGAGGTTTCCAGTGAAAGCTGAAAAAGCTGATCAAAGGAGCCACTTGGAGGGTTAACAGCAGGGAAACCACTCGCTGAGGGCACTGGAAATGGACACAGTGTGACCACAAGTGTCTGTGTTAGCTGATAATGAAGTTGCTATGCCAATAAATGGTGTTCATTCATGTTCCTGTTGCTGCTCAGGGTCGATGTGCCAAAGTGTTCTCTATCAATGACAAGAACGACTGGAAAATCGTCCGGAAAGCTTTTTCCATCATCGACTTCAGTGAGAGGGATATCGAGGTATGGCTGGTAGAGGCACTGATGGAAGCAGCTTTGCTTGGGAGAGGTGTTAGGGGTAGGAAAGGACATCATTTAGTACCTTCAGTACCTGAAGGAGCCTCCAGGAAACATGGAGAGGGACTTTCTCCTAGAGCATAGAGTGCCAGGACAAGGGGGAATGGCTTCCCACTGCAGAGGGCAGGGAGAGATGAGATATTGGGAAGGAATTCCTCCCTGTGAGGTGCTGAGGCACTGGCACAGGTTGCCCAGAGCAGCTGTGGCTGCTCCATCCCTGGGAGTGTCCCAGGCCAGGTTGGATGGGGCTTGGAGCCACCTGGGCTGGTGGGAGGTGTCCCTGCCCAGGGCAGGGGGTGGGACTGGATGATCTTTAAGATCCTTCCAACCCAAACCATTCCATGACTCTATGGAGTTGAGGAAACAGGTGAAGAACACGATCTCATGCCCCTGGAGCAGGTTCTCTGAGCCATCTCCTGCAGATCAAACAGGTCAATGTTGTGTGTAGTAGCTGTGCAGTGACAGTGCTCTGACAGTGCATCTAATGGTGTGTCTCTTGTTCTTAGCATCTCTTTGCAATTGTTGCCACTGTCCTGCACCTGGGGAACATCCACTTTGAAGAAGACAGCAATGGCCACGCCATCATCCGTGATGGAACACAGATCAAGTGGATCTCAAAGGTACCTGTGAGGGAGTGTCAGTATTCCAAGTGCTGTGAGGAAAGCCTTAACCTTGCTGTGTCTTTCTCTTATGGGCAAAACTTCCCAAAAGCAGAGGGATAAGTGGATAAATACCCATCACTTTTGGAAACTGTCTGGAATTGTGGGGCCCTTTTCTCTCTCACACATCTCCCTGGAACTTCCTTCCTTCCTTCCCCTCACTGAGAGATGAGGGGAACTGGGGAGGGACTGGGGGCTAAGCCACACTGATCTCAGTGCTGCTGGTATAACTGTGTCCTGCTGGTCATGCTCTGAGTGTAAATGTTCCTCTCCCTGCAGCTCCTGGGTGCTCACCTGTCCATCCTGCAGGAAGCTCTCACCAACAGGAAGATTGAAGCCAGATCTGAGGAGGTATCAGTGTCTGTGTAACCCCAGGGAGTTGGGAGATCCCCAGTTAGGGTTGGGGCTGGATAAGGAGCTCAGTTCTTAGTGTTACAACAAAACCAGCTCACTCTGCCTGTCTCTCTCCTCCTCCACATCCCCTCCTAGCCTGAGACATTCAGATATATTCCTGATATCTTTCTGGCTTTGTTTTTACATTCTAACCCTCTCTGTGGCAAATACTGCTGAACAGCAGTCGCTGGAAAAAAAAGGCTGGAACAGGGACTTGCAAGCAACCTTGTCTTTGAGCTAAACAATTTCCCCTTGTCCAGTCCTTAGAGCTTCCTGGGAAGCTGAGCTGCAGAAACAGAGGAAAACACTTGTAAAATCTGCTCTTTGAGCATCTAGTGCTTTGATTTGAGTGAAATAAACCCAAAAGGAAGTCAGAATTCTTCCCCCACTTGTCTCAGTCAGTACTCTCCAAGATGTAGTATCCCAGTCCTGCTGGCAGGTGGAGATACACCAGAGGGAAGGAATACTGATGGGAAACAAAGCTGTAGGTGGAACCTCGGAATCTCTGAGTGGTTTGGGTGAGAAGGGACCTAAGAGATCATCTAGTTCCAACCCTTGCCATGGGCAGCTGCAGCTCAGGGGGTCTACAATAGCTTGGCTGGTTCTCCAAGCCACAGGTGGGAACTGGTTGGATACACCATGCATTGAATTAATCACCTCTGTGCCAGGGGAGGGTCAGGTTGGACATCAGGAGGAATTTCTCCATGGAAAGGGTTGTTAAACATTGGAATGTGCTGCCTAGAGAGGTGGTGGAGTCACCATCCCTGGAGGTGTCCAAGGAATGACTGGAAGTGGCACTCAGTGCTCTGGTCTGGCTGACAAGGTGGTGATGGGTCACAGGTTGGACTTGATGGTCTTGGAAGCTTTTTCCAACCTGAATGATCCTATTATTCAGGTACATCTTGGTTTATTTTCAGGTCCTGAGCCCCCTGAATGTGGATCTGGCATTCTATGCTCGGGATGCTGTGGCCAAGGCGATTTATGGACGCACCTTCACTTGGCTTGTCAACAAAATCAACAATGCTCTGGTAAACAAGGTTGGTTTCCTGTCTGGTGTCCACTGAGTGCCCCTAAAATGCTGAGCTGTTTTCCCATCCTCATCACCCAATATCTTGGATGCTTATTTGTGTAGGGACATCCCCCAGCCCCGAGGTGGAAAACCCTTTGGTTAAGAGTGGAAGGTGATAGGTTAGATAGTTTTAGCAGCTCATTATCACCTGCTTTAGAGTAGGTTCTCCACCCACATGTGAAGCTCTCAAAGAGAAAGTCTAACTTTAGGAGGAACAAACAACATGCAGGGGAGAAGCAGCAGCTCAGCAGTAGTTGCTGAGCAGAGATGTCTTTAACAGGATTCCAGTCGGAAAACAGTAATTGGCCTGTTGGATATTTATGGCTTTGAGGTGCTGGACACAAACAGGTAAGGGCTGTGCTGAGGCTTGGGGTAACCTGGGGGGCATGAGCTTAGGGGGGAATGGGTGGGTTTGGGCTGGGTGGTTTGGCTGGAACACAGCAGGTAGTGGTGGGAGAAGCAGAACTGCCTGTGAGAGAAACAAAACCTGATGCTCCTTTAACCACTCTTGAAGCTTTGAGCAGTTCTGCATTAATTACTGCAACGAGAAGCTCCAGCAGCTGCTGATTGAGATGACCCTGAAAGCAGAGCAGGAGGAATATGAAGTGGAAGGGATAGAGGTAAATTGTATTTCCCCCTCTCTTTTTGCTTTGAATTGCCATTGCACTGTAAGGTTTTGCTCATCCCTATGAAAGATATTCTGGTTCTTTTAGCTTCTTGTTCCCATGAGAAGTATAGGATAGCTGTGGGTCTCATCCTGCAACCTTTTGGCAGTGTCATTTAGCTCAGACTCCAGGTAAGAAAGGAGTAGGACCTTCCCCAAAACTCATGTTCAGTAGTGACAGTGTCCCTGGAGCATGAGAAACTCCAGCAGGGTAAGACATGGGAAGATGGAGAGCATTGATGCAGAGAACCAGAGGATGGTCTGAGCTGCTGAGAGCAGGAGGACTCTGGAATGGGATCATGGATCACTGTGCTCTCACTTTTTATTCTACAGCTCAGCTGGTCCTAACCCACCACACTGATCTTTAGTGGGATCAGAGTCTGGATCTGATTGAAGTTCCAATGAACTTACAAACTGCAAAGATAAGGTCTTCACCTAAAGCTGTTCTTCCTTTCTCCCTCTTCCAGTGGGAACCCATCCCATATTTCAACAACAAAATCATCTGTGACTTGGTTGAGCAGAAGCATAAAGGAATCATCTCCATCCTGGTAAGAGCAGAGTTTGTGCTGAGTTAAAATGCAACCTGTGCCCTGCTGTAATTGTCTATAATCATTTGCTCCTTGAATTTTGGGATGGATCTGCATTATCCAGAGTGAAAACCCCTAGAGTTTGTTAGCAAACACCCAGAACTGAGGGCAGAGGATATGCTGACTGTAGAGCTGTGGCTGTGGAGGCTGTGGCTGTGCTGCTTCCCCAGCAATGAGTCTTTGGCTTTGTGCATGGAAATTGTCCTCCCTGTTGGTGTAGCTGCTCAGAGCAGCTCTGACCCCGTGTCTGCTGTTGCAGGATGAGGAATGCTTACGGCCTGGGGAAGCAACTGATTTGAGCTTCTTGGAAAAGCTGGAGGAGAAAGTAGGAGATCATCCCCACTTCCTGACGTATGCATTTCCCCTCTGTATCCTGGCTCTTCCCAGCTCTCCCCCATGGCAGAGTGGTGGGGAGGGAATCAGCTTTGCTTTGCTCCAAGCAGCTCCTCCAGGGTGTGATGCTGAGATGTGCTCCACTGGTAGGGTATGGGCTGGGGGTTCTGGGGAGGTGTGTGGGTTCTGTCTCTGCACTCAGGTGGTGCTGATCTTTGAGCCTGGTTTCATCCCACACTCAAACTAGGCACTGCTGGGCTTTGCCCCCTGATCTTAGCCCAGGAACGTTAGATGACTTGGGCCAGAGATCACTTTGCTCCCCACTGACTCCAGGCAAAGCTGAAGGTGTGACAAAGCCCAGGGGTATGCAAACATTTCAGTCCATCTCCACTCTGTGTGAGCTCCAAGCACAGAGAGGAGAGGAAATAATCCTGCTCACCCCCACCCCCAGATGAGTGGCATTTTGGTTAATACTCCATTTGTAGTGTTTTTTGGCTCCCATTTGGGTGGCAGATGAGTGTGTTGGCGCCAGGCTGTGCTGGCAGCTCCCAGCAGAAACTGCTGAAGGGCCCTGACAAGTCATCAATTCAGAGTCACACTGCTGAGTTGTCACTGTTTCTACAGCTCTGAACTTCACCACAGCCAAGTGGAACATTTGGAGCCAACTTCCTTGTCACCACAATGTGCCTTAATGCTGTTCTGCCTGATTAGAAGCTTTAAATAGAAGTGCTGGAGCTCCTTAAACGGGATCTGTGCTTGGTGATGCTCTTGGAAGGAGCTTTGATACCCTAATGTGCTGTTGTGACACACAACTCTGCTGGCAGTGACTGCTTACAAAGCTGAAACTTCAACTGTGAAGTTGCTCTTTTTTTTTTCTTCTCCAGGAATCCTTCCTTGCTCAAATTTTCCTGCTATTCTTAGCAGTTTGGATTCCTCCTTTTGTGTTTGGGTTGTCGCTCTAGGGCAAAACATCTCCAACAATCCTTTCCCCTTAGCTTGACTTTGAAATTGAGGGAATTGGTGATTATTTTTTCTTTTTTTTTCCCCCCAACATGAGCAGTAAGAATGTGTTTAAATGAATGTTATGGGATGACATCTTAATCCTTTAGGATTAGTGATCATTGCCAAATGGGAATGGGTAGGTCTGAGGAGTTTATGGAGCTGCTTCCCGTTCCCTGCTGCCAGCAGAGGTAGATGATGGTTTGGTGATGAATCAGAACTCTACAGAGCCACAGCAAGAGCCACAAACACTAGATGTCCAGCTGTCCTGCAGCTGTGCCTCTCCATGAGCTGAGGGAATGTGTTTGCTGCTCTGTCTCTCTGTGCTGAGTTGGTGTTTCCTCTCTGCAGTCGCAAACTCGCGGACCAGAAGACGCGGAAATCCATCGACTTTCTGGATTTTCGCCTCCTCCACTATGCAGGAGAAGTCACTTACTGTGCTATGGGTGAGTGGGCAAGGTGTGCCAGCCTGGGGGTTAGCTGAGCTCTGAAGCTGATGTGTGGTGGAGGATAACTGGGAAGGTGAATTCCTACCCAACTGCCCTCTGAGGGCTCTGCCTGGAAGTCTTAGCTATGACTGCAGTGAGAATTTGGGGCATGTAAATGTTCTGGAGTGGCTGTGCCCCAAAAGAATTAAACCTTTTTTTTTTTTATTCCTTCAGGATTTCTGGAGAAGAATAATGATCTACTGTACAGGAACCTGAAGGAGGTAAGGGCAGAGAAGAGATGCTGTTCTCTACCTGATCAAAGCAGAAATGCTTTGAGGATGTATTTCATCCCTGCAGCAAACAAGAACAGACTTTCCTCTTTAGCAGTGACTTTCAGGCACCTGCCTGCATGTCCTGAGGGCTGTGCTGCTCTCAAGAGTAGCAGAGCTGCTAAACAAGGCAATTCCTCCTGTTCCAGGTGTTGTGCAACTCCAAGAACTTCATCATTAGAGAATGTTTCCTCTTCTCGGAACTGGACAGCAGGAGGAGACCAGAGACTGTGAGTTTTGTCTTTAGTCTGAAGTTTGAGTATGAACTCAACCCCCCAAGTCTTGGTTTAATGGATCCCTTAGTCCTAATGGCCACAAACTAAACCCCAAGGAGTTTGACCTCCCCATGAGGAAGAACTTCCCATGGAGGTGGCAGAGCACTGGGACAGATCAGGGAGGGTGTGGAGTCTCTGTCTGGAGACATTCCAAACCCACCTGGATGTGTTCCTGTGTCACCTGCTGCAGGTGACTCTGCCTTGGCAGGGGGTTGGATTAGAGATTCTCCAGAGGTCCCTTCCAACCTCAGTGATTCTGGGATTCCTGCACTTGGTGGATGTTTTTGCTGCTGTTCCCTTTTGCTTCCATGCTGAAGGTGGATCCAGGGAGTGAGTTGATCTCAGTTGCTGCAGTGATGAGTCCCAAGGTTAAGAAGGTTCTTTTGATGTTGTCTTAGGTTGCAACCCAGTTCAAAAACAGTCTGATGAGCCTGATTGAGATCCTGATGTCCAAGGAGCCTTCTTACGTCCGCTGCATTAAACCCAACGACAACAAGGAGCCTGGTAAGGCTGAAGGCACTGCTGAGGTCAAGGGATGGCCTGAGGGACACTCACCTGTAGCTGGGTGAAGCAGATATATGCTGTGTGTATGTTTGGGGGTGTGTTTTTGGATCCGTTTAGTTGAGTTGGCAGCAAAGTCATCACCTTAGGTACTTGGGGGTTTGATTCCTTCCTGATTTCTCCCACGACTTGGACAAGTGGATGAGGTTCCACAGAGTATTTAGCAGTGACTGTGTGTTCTTGCCACAGGGAAGTTCGATGATTCCCTGATCAGGCACCAGGTCAAGTACCTGGGGCTGATGGAGCACCTGAGGGTGAGACGAGCAGGGTTTGCCTATCGGCGCAAGTACGAGCACTTCCTGCAGAGGTGAGGGCAACTCTCCCCCCCTCAGCCTCCCCCTCAACTCCCTGCCCTCCCACGAGGCTTAGGTGTGTTTAAAACTCAAGCCCCAGCTCATCAAACCTAACCTTGGCTTGTGCCTTGTCTGGATCTGTTTTGTTCTGCTCTGACATCTTCTGCACTGAATGAAGAGTAGGAATGTGCAGGGCAGAGCTCCAGGAAGAGTTTCCTAAGGCATCAAGTCATTTGTGTTGGTGTCTTGCTGATCTTTCAGGTATAAATCCCTCTGTCCAGCTACCTGGCCAAACTGGAATGGGCCAGCAATAGAGGGTGTGGTGAAGCTCATCAAGCACATTGGTTACAAGCCTGAGGAATACAAACTGGGAAGGTAAATTCCCTTGCTCTGACTGCTCAGTGCTTTCTCTATTGGATCTTCTATCCTGTGACAGGAGCAAGGAGACAGAGAAAAAACCCAGATGATAAATTTCCTCTTTATTCTCCCCTGTTTCCACGGGAGCTTCAATCCAAACTCATTTCCTCCATCTCTGGGCTGGGGGAGATGAGCAGCTTTGCCTCAGCCCCAGCTCTCCTGGCAGCTTGGGCAGCTCAAGGCAACTTACCTCTCTTAGGCTTGGGTTTTGCTTTTAATTGGCATTTACAGCCACTCCTGAGCCACAACTTTGTCCTCTCTGCAGAGACAAGATGTGGGACAAGGCAGTCTCTGTGTCACCTTCTCCCTGTGGCTCTCAGAACCCATGAATTCATGTCTAGGATAGTAGCTAAGACAAGGAAACTGGGCTGGATTTCAGCTGCTTTCCTGGGAACTCACAGGGATGCCAGCACTGAGGGGACAAGTTGTGAAAATGTTGAGATGTCCTTGCTGCTCCTTCCAGGGCACCTTGTGCAGTGACTGCTGTCTTGCCTCCTTCCCTGTCCCTGCCACCCTTTGCCAAGCCCTTGGCACCCTCTCAGGATGTGCCACTAGGCAGATGAGGAGTGGGGATGGAAGGAGATGTAACCTGTGGGCATTGCAGCTGCTTGGAGGACCCTGACCCCAGTTAGGGCAGCTGAAGTGATGGCTCACTGTGAATAATCTGATCCTGGTCTCTTTTTCAGAACCAAGATATTCATTCGTTTCCCCAAGACTCTGTTTGCCACAGAAGATGCATTTGAGTACAGGAGGCACCTGCTGAGTAAGGTTCCAGTTCCTTTTCTCTGATACACACTAAGCAGCAGAGCCTGGGGAACTGTTCCTGGGCTCCAGTCTGATGGAGTAAATGCCAGGTTGGACAGGGCTTGGAGCCACCTGGGCCAGTGGAAGGTGTCCCTGCCCGTGGCATGAGATGGGCTTTGAGGTCCTTCCAGCTCAAACCACTCTGGGGTTCTGTACACCATGGTGAGAGCTGAGCCCCACAGAGCGCAGAGCTCTGCAGAACCCATGGAAAACTTAGTCCTCTTTCTCCAGGGTGGGGAAAAATCCCTGGCTCTATGGCTTGAGCCCTGCATATGTTCCTTTAGAGCTCCTCAACCCTATGAGTAGCTGTTGGCCCATTTGTGGATGCACTAAGTACTCTGGGATTGGGATTTCACCTGTCTCATCCTGTTTGTACCTGCTTGAAATGCACAAATGCACAGGGCTGAAGGGCACAGCACCTACCCAGGCCACTTCTGCTCCTCTTGGTGTCCTGGCACATCTTTTCCTCGGTGACTGTGCAGCTCCTCCTGTGCCTCAGCACCCAGTGGGCACAGGATCTTGGCTCCTCAACACTCTGGTCCTGTAGGTAAGAGCACATCTCTGCCTTTCTTCCAGTTTCAAGACTACAGGCCAAATACAAAGGATTCCTTGGGCAAAGAGCATACCAGAAGAAGAGGAAAGCAGGTATGAGCTGTGGAATGGAGGAGTCTCTTAGGGCTGGGATTTCCTTGGGAGTTGTAGCTTTGGGAGGCCACAAATCCAATGTGGCTATGGGTAGCACTCGTGGCTTCAGTGCAGGGCTGTGGGTGTTGAGGTGAGATGCAGGTTGCATGAAGAGCACTCAGAGAGTCTCCAGAGGTCCCTTTAGCTGTGCTTGGCTCTTGGCCTCAGCCAGGTATCAGCTGTGGGAGCAGCTCTGAGCAGCAGCATCACCTGCTGCACACATGGGGATGTTCTGGGGTACTCAAGAGCTGATCATCAACTGCTGGGGAGAAAAAAAGCATCTGGTCACAGCAGGCAGGCTGATCTCAAACCTGCAGGCTCAAAGGGCAGCTGAGATGAGCTGTGTGCAGGGGGCACAGGAGGCTGAATGCTCATGAGCTCTGGCACTGTCTTATGTTGAGCTCCACAGTGCTGGTGGTACTGGATCCACCACTTATGATGGAGAAGAGAACACCCTCAGCTTCTTGCTGTTCCCATCAGCTGATCTTTGGAGCTGCAAAATAATCATTGCTAACTTTTGCTGTGTGAGCTAAAGGCCAGTGTGGCCCAGGAGCTCTGACACAAGGACCTGGTTGACTCTTGCAGCCATCAAGCTGGAGGCCTGTTGGAGAGGAGCTCTGGCACGGAGGGAGGCCAAGAGGAGGACATGGGCAGCCCAGATAATCAGGAAGTAATTATCACGGTGTGCTGGGTGTGGGGAGGGTTGGGGTGATGGGTCCCAGCATGGGGGTGGGCTCACCCAGCCAGCCCAGAGCACTGACAGCACAGTGAGACAAAACTGGCTTCTTCACACCCATTTCTAAGGTGCTGTTGGAGTTAGGACAAGAAGTTCCAGGAGGGTGATCTGAAATGTCTGTGACCTGCTCAGGAATTCTAACTTGCACTAGTTTCTGTTGCTCTGCTGGTTTATATCAGTCAAAGCATGTCCAAACCAGCCATAGAATCATGGAATGGGTTGGGTTGGAAGGAGCTTAAAGACCATCCAGTCCCACCTCCTGTCATGAGCAGGGACACCTTCCACCAGCCCAGGTTGCTCCAAACCTCATCCAACCTGGTCTGGAACACTCCCAGGGATGGAACAGCCACAGTTTCTCTGGGCAACCTGTGCCAGTGCCTCAGCACCTCACAGGGAGGAATTCCTTCCCAATCCTTTGCATTCCTCTTTGTTCCCTTATCAATGCTCCTCCCTCTCCACTCCTTAAGCTCTCCTGAAGCAGAGCTGATCTTCCTTTCGAGCTCCAAAGCATCTTGTTTTGACCACCACAACTTGGAAATCAATGTCAATATTTAGTATATGACAAAGCTTAAGGTTTTCATTGCTGTGACTGTACCTGAGTTAGCACCAATGACCCGCTTAGCCTGTTATGTGTCACCTGCCACTCCCCTCATTCCCATGGATCTCATGTCAGCTCTGCCTGGATGTTTTCTGTAGGTTCATAAATGGCTTCATCAATAGGAAGAAACCTCTGTGCCCGGAGAACAGGGAATTTGTGATGCTCTCCCAGTACAAGTACCTGCTGAAGCTCAGAGATCACCTCCCACAAAACGTCCTGGACAAGAGTTGGCTCAAACCTCCTTCCATCATGGAAGAGGTGAGGGTTGCTGGGGCCTTTGGGACAGGTGAAAGGAGCTGCTCTTCCGTGGTCATGTGTGTGCATTTGTGCTGGAAAAAAAGCTTGACCTGCTGTTCTTGGTTCAGGAGGGATGGCAGAGCCTTGGGAAGCCCCTGAGATCTGCCTGGGGGAGGATGGGAGTGGAAGGAATCACTCTGTTGGTGTTTCCAAGGGAAAGGAGAGAGCTTTGTGTTGTTTGGAGCAATAGAAAGGCACTGACAGAGAAGTGAACTCACGAGCTCTGCTAAAGACAAACTGAATCCCACAATGCTTTAGGCTCCTGGCACAGACTGACCTGTTTGCACAACTTCCCTACCTTTTGTTTTCCTTCTGTTTTCCTGTAGACATCTGAGATGCTTCACAAGCTCTGCATAAGGACCCTGGTGAGGAAGTACTGCCGAGGGGTTAGTGTCGAGAGGAGAGTGCAGGTGAGCAACCCCTGGAATGCAGATTTTGGAGCTAAAACCTGCTGTGCCTGGCTGATCTCTGTCTCCTGCACCTTCTGGCACTGCTGCTCCTCTCACTCAGGGCTGTTTGCTCTCCTGGGAGCAAAAATCCCTGAGCCTGCAGTCAGGACTTCCTTCTGGGGACCCTTTGGAGACATGTGGGGCTTAGGCTCATGGCATTGAAACTGCACTTCCATGGAATCAGAAAAGCTCCATAAATCAGAGAGCCCTGTAGGATTGTCCTTGCTGGCCCTTTATTTGGGGTGATACAGGAATGACCCAAAGGTGCAGAAGAAGTGCAGCATGACTCCAGGATTCCCTGAGCTGGGTGGACAGTGGGAGGATGTTGTGCCATGCAGTGTTTGCTGATGCTCCTGCTGGAGAATCTCCAAGGTTAAGGCTGTTCCTTCCCACATCAGTTGCAGCAGAAGGTGGTGACCAGTGCTGTGTTCAGAGGGAAGAAGGAGGGATACCAGCAGAGCCTCAACCAGCGCTTCCTGGACACTCGTCTGAGTGAGTGCACACCAAGCCCTGGAGGCCTCAGCTCCTTGCTCAGGAAAGTTCTGGTGGACCAGGCTCATTTCCAAGAGGAATTCCCACCTGGCAGAGGCAGCAGCACCTGCTGTGTTTGGGCTCTGCCATTGGAGTTGCTTTGCTCTGTTGTATCTAGTGACAGAGATCAATCTGCCAGATTTATTCTCAGATTGAGGGGGAATGGGATCCCTCCTGGGACACAGAGCCATAAATCCTAGCAGAATTCCTTGTGGGCTGGGATGGATCAGGGTTTGAACCACAAGGAGGCTCCAGAATAGGAGCTCCCAGTGAGAATGACTTGTCAGGCAGCAGGAGTCACCCAAATGGGTGTGGGAGTGGCTGGCAGTGACCACCCTCAGTTCAAAGGGAGCATTCCAAGGGACAGGGACAACTAGGATGGAGACAGTCAGTGCAGCTCTGGTGCTTGCTGGGAGAGCAGTGGCTCTCACCTACACTCAGTTTCTCTTTCTGCTTTGCTCCTCAGAAGAGAATGAGATAAACCCCAGAGTGCTGCAGCTCATCCAGGGGGAGAGCATCAAGGTAAGGGGACACCCTTTGGAACCTGCTTCACTGGAGTCCTGGTGCTGCTTGGGCACACAGGGCCTGAGGAACAGCAGTGGAGCCACGATTTCCTTGCTTCTAAATTGGAGACAAGTCTCAAAATGCACCAAGATAACTTTGATTTCAGCTTCTGCTAAATAAAAGCTTCCCAAGCATCCCAGGTGGGCTGTGAGGGGCAGGAGCAGAGGAGATGTGTCCATGCACTTCCCTTGCTTATGGCATAGAGGGCACAGGTGACTCACCTTGCTCAGAGCAGTTCTGCCACCTCAATTTCCCAGTGTGAAGAAACAGCTCACACTGAGCAGAGGTTGGAGGGAGCAGCTGTGAGTTGGGAGCTGCAGCTCCACGGGCAGAGCTGCTCCTCCCTGAGCTGCTTGCAGTGAGGACAGGTGAAAACCCTGGCCCAGGTCCCTGGGAAGGTGCAAGTGCTGACACCAACTTGTTGCTTTCAGTACGTGACTCCCGTGATCAAATACGACAGGAACGGGTTCAAGGCTCGAGAGAGGCTCCTGGTGCTCACCCAGGCTGCAGCCTATGTGGTGGAGATGGCCAAGATCAAGCAGAAAGTGGAGTATGCCACCCTGAAAGGTAAAACTCTGGGAGTTGTTTGTGTAGGACCAGGCTGGATGGAGCTTGGAGCATCCTGGGCTAGTTGGCAGGAGGTGGAACTGGATGGGCTTTAAGGTTCCTTCCAACCCAAACCATTCCATGATGGTTCTAGGAGTTGGTGTGGGGATTCCTCTCCTGCCAGAGTCTCTGGAAGGGAAGGATGAACTTCTGAAACTTGGTTTCCCAAACATACCTGAAGCGATGATGTACCTGAGAACACCTTTCCCTGGGGGATGGAAAAAGGGTCCATGTGTCAGCCTTGAAGTGGAATTTTATGCCTAGGAGGACACAGTTCCTTGAAATATTTAATGCAGGAGGATGTAACTTCCTGC